ATACAAAATTGCATAAAATTATGTCATTTAGCAAATAAGTCTCTGCATATATATGTGCATATATTAGAAACATACCTAATGTACAGGAAGCATTGAAAGGACACTAAAATATTAAAAAAGGGAATCTTCGATGGGTTTTGTTTTTTTTTTTTTCCTCTTCAAAAAGTCAGGATTTTTAGTTGCAAACAAAAGAAGTCATTCTGGCAAAGTTAAGCAGAAAACGCACTTATTAAAAGAAATTGGATGATAGGATCAGGGCTAGCGACTGAGGGGGCTGGAAGGAGTCTGCAGGCTACACTTCATTTCTGAGAGCGATGCCCAGACTTCGCTGATAAGAAAAATGTCGCCAGTGTCACCCCACAGTGCGGGCCGCCAGCAACTCTAGAAGTCACCACCTTCTGAACCGCGCCCCAGAGGCTGTACGTGTCTGTTGCTACTCATCCAGTCAAAACCTGGAAACAATAGGGGGGTATTTCTTCATGCTGATCATCTCCAAATCCAAGTTGTGAAAGGTTTTGAGCAAAGGAGTGACATAACTGACCTGGGTTACGAAGGGACACTTGTGACTGCCGCCCAGGTGTCCCTGGAGCTAGTTATGCTTAAGAAACTGCAAATAGAAAAGCTCTGAAAACCAACCAGAAGGCACTGGACAGCTCAGCTGGTTAGGCACCTGTCTTTGGCTCAGGTCACGATCCCGGGGTCCTGGGATGGGGCCCGAGTTGGGCTCCCTTCTCAGGGGGGAGTCCGCTTCTCCCTCTGCCCCTCCCCTAGCTCATACTCTCTCTTGCTCACTCTCTCAAATAAATAAATAAAATCTTAAAAAAAAAAAAAAACCTGGGGATCCCTGGGTGGCTCAGCGGTTTGGCGCCTGCCTTTGGCCCAGGGCACGATCCTGGAGACCCGGGATCGAATCCCACGTCGGGCTCCCGGTGCGTGGAGCCTGCTTCTCTCTCTGCCTGTGTCGCTGCCTCTCTCTCTTTCTCTGTGTGACTATCATAAAAAAAAAAAAAAAAAAAAAAAAAAAAAAAAAACCTGAGTAGATATTACCCTTTTGTAAGAAAGGGTAATAAGAAATTTATATTTATAAGGGAAATTTCCATTTGTTAGCCTCTCCCTCCCCCTACTCACCCCCATAAGGAGAGAAGGATGCTCCTTAATTTTTAGGAGCTCTTCTTCATGGAGAGGGCAATGATGTAAATCAGCATGACCTTGTTTACGGTGCCTTTCCTGGTAACCTCCTTCCCATAACTGACTTTCCCCTCCCTCAACCTCTGCTTTTACCAGAAGGCTGCTTTAAGGCAGTGGCTTGGGTCATTTCAAGGAGTCCCTCAGTTTTCCTGGGTATCTCTCATGCAAACAGGAGGTATCCATGTTATTTAACTTCCGCTTGTTTCCCAGTACTCATGTGTCTTTTTATTATAGGAGGCATCTCAGCCAAGAATTTAGAAGGGTAGCGGGGAAATAATTTCTCTTCCTCCACAGTTATGGTTATGCTTGAATACACAAATATAATTAACCTAGTTTTGAGAAATATGTTTTGAGAAAAAAACCCAAGCCATGAGTCATCCAAGCTAGGCAAAACATGAAAGTAAAAATAAACTTTATAAAGTTACAGTTCTTACGAGGGCAATTGTTTTTTGAAAATGCGTCTTCAATTGTTGAGTAGAAAAAAGAAGTGTATAAAGAGAGAGAAGAAATGTATAATGCAGCTAAAAACTTCAATAAGTATTTCAGTCTAGGGGATCCCTGGGTGGCTCAGCGGTTTGGCACCTGCCTTTGGCCCAGGGCGGGATCCTGGAGTCCTGGGATCGAGTCCCACATCGGGCTCCCTGCATGGAGCCTGCTTCTCCATCTGCCTGTGTCTCTGCCTCTCTTTCTCTCATGAAAAACAAAATATTTTTAAAAACTAATTATATGATATCATTATGGGTAATTGAGTCCATCCATTTCTAAAGTTAGGGAAATAAATAATTTAGGCTGTCCAAATGAATATCAAATGCAGTGGCATAAAAAAAAATCACAAGATAAAGAATCTGTCAAGAAACACATCTAACACCCTCCTGAAAAATTTGCATCAAAATCCATTGTGGGGCCCCTGGTGGCTCAGCTTTCTAGAGGGCTGCCTGCGGGGGTCCTGGATGGAGCTCCCTGCTCAGTGGAGAGCCTGCTTCTCCCTCTCCCTCTGCTGTTCCCCCTGCTTGTGCTCTCTGGCTCTCTCTTTCTTTCTGTCAATAAATAAATAAATAAATAAATAAATAAATAAATAAATAATAAAATAAAATAAACAAAAAAATAAGTAAGACTTTTTAAGAAATCTATTGTGAATCTGTTGCAATGATTTTTATACTCTCAAGGTATTTTTTTTTCCTAACAATTAACTTCTCTCAATATAATGCCATAAAGTATGAAAATGCTCTGGGCTGAGCTTGCTCTGTGCCTGTGGGGTGCACGTGCACGCCCAGGTTATTAAAGGGAGGTAGTAATAGTAGTTCATACAGAGAGCACCGAGGCGTGTCTTGCACATGCTGAGCGTTGTTTTTAATACAAATAATTTCGTATCAACTCAATGAAGTAGCTGCTGTTACTGCTCCACTGAAGGCCCGAGGCACGGTGCTCCGCCGAGGCCAGGGCCCGCTCCTCGTCCCAGCCTGGGGGTCCGACCGGCAGCCCCCGGGGAGCAGGCGTCGCGCGGAGGCCGCCACGTGCGCAGGCGCAGCAGCAGGCGGTCAGGGGGCCGCGGGGCCGGGGGCGGGGCCGGGGCCGGGGCGCGACCCCGGGTCCGGGTCGAAGCCAACCTCCAGGCACGGCCCGCTTCCCGAGGCCAAGGGAAGGGCCGCGCCTAAGGCCCTGAGGCTTCAGGTGCTGCCGCCTCCGCGCCCCCCTATCCCCCCATCCCTCTCATCCCCCCCATCCCCCCCCACCCCCCGCCCCCTTGCCTGGTCGCCCATACGCTGCCCGCAGGGAGGCAGCTCGGAGGAGCCGAGTCATTCTGCGCCGTAAGGTGAGGACGGCCTGGCCAGGGCAGCCCTTCCCTTTTGTTATCATTTTCAACAAATTAGGGGGACACCTAGATTAGTTCACTTTAATACCGAGGTAATGTGGCTTCCTGGGCCTCTGCGCGCCGCGGGGCCGCTCAGAGCTTCGCCTAGGCAAGGCCTCAGGGGCGCGACCTGGGCCTCGGGAGGGCCTCGGGAGGGCCCCGGGGAGAAGCAGCCCCAGGCCGCGGGTCACCGGACCGCCGCCGTGTGGACCAGCAGGTGGCCTCTGAGACCCGGTCCGCCAGCGCGGAGGAGGCGGCGACCCCCCAGGATTTGGGGGGCCACGGGCTGGGCGCGGGGCCAGAGTTCTCTGCTTCCTCTTACGGGAGTTCAGGGAGAACGGCCCCCTCCATTCAGCACGTCTCGACGTCCTAGGGCACTGCCGTTCCCGGGATCCAGCCCGCAAGCCCCCGCTGCGGAGCCTCTGCAGCCTCCCGCTCGCTCTGCGCGCAGCTCATCGCTGGCAGAGGCCCGGGGTCCCCCCGTGTGACGTCACCTCTCTACGGGTCACGGGGTCGTGTCCCCCACCCCCCGTCTAACGTCACCTGTCTCCGGGTCACGAGGCCGTGTCCCCCGCCGTGTGACGTCACCTGCTCTCGGGGTCACGAGAGCCCGCGTGTCCCCCCCGCGGCCCACCCCCGCGTGTTCCCCGCCGGCCTCCCTTGAAGCCCGGCTCTTCCTCTGCCGCGGGGACTCCCAGCCAGATGGGGCGCAGGGAGGCGGAGAGGGGCGGGGGCGGGGGCGGGGGCGGGGGGGCCGTGACCCAGCCGCGCCCCCGCCGGGACCCCCGGCCGCCACCCGCACACGCCTTGTGGGGCAGAGCGTGGGTTCGCCCGTGGGTCCCCGAGGCTCCGCGGCCCTCGCGGCCTGCGCCGATCCCCAGAGCCGGGGCGGCCACCTGCGGCCCCGCGGGGCGCGGACGCGCGGACTCCGGGCTCGTGGGAGGGACAGACACGCGGACTCCGGGCTAGCCCGGCCCGGCAAGTGCCGGCTGAGGAGCCCCCTGCAGGCCGCCCGGCCTCGGCCCTGGCTCTGACCAGTTCCCGGCGGCCGAAGGGGACATGGGCCCCAGGGGGCACCAGGGGGCGCCGCCAAGGAGCCCGGACCCCAGCAGGCAGCAGCCTCCGGCCCTCCTCCGGGGCGCTCCGCCGCCCTCCCCCCTCCCCCTCCCCCCTCCCTCTCCTCCCTCCTTCCTCCCCCCCTCACTCCCCCTTCCCCCTCCCTCCACCCCCATGCGTGCTTGTGTGTGTGTGTGTGTGTGTGTGTGTGTGTGTGTATTCTGCTCTCATTTCTGCTGGCCTGTGTCTGTTTCCACCCTTCCTGAAGCCAAGGTGAAGCCCCTTGGCCGTCCCGTGGGACCCCCTCTGGGTGCCCGCCCCGCCCCGCCCCTGCCTCACCCCTGCGGGTCCCAGCCCCTGGTCCGGGCTGCTCGGGCTGCTCGTCTGGAGCTCAGCGGGGACCTCACTGCTGCTGCGGGAAGGCAAGCGCCCAGCAGCCCTCTGAGGCCTCAACCCCCCCCCCCCCCCCCCGTGCCTGCCCTGGCTGGACCTCGGCTGGGGGGCCTGTGCCCCGCGGCCCAGCTCCCTGCTGCCTGAGTTCCCCAGGCCGGTGCCTGTCGCCCTCCTACCCGAGTGCCCACAGCAGAAGGTGCCAGCCGCTGGGTTCCTGCCGTCAGCTCGTTGCACCTGCCAGCGCCGCTGTGTCAGGGGCTGCGGGAAGCCGGACAGCCGGCTTCACCAGGAGGCAGCCAGGCTGCAGGTGTGTGCGGAGCTGGGGCTATGCTCTGAGTGAGGCGGGGAGAGGCCGCTGCCAGCCCTGCGTGCCCCCCCCCCCTCCCCCCCCGTCACACAGACTCACGAGGCGGGACTGGATGTGTCAGCATGTTGGCCACACATCCCGACTGGCTGACGCGACTCTTAAAAGGCCTGGAGGAGTGTCTGCAAGAGGCTGACGGCGGTGAGAGGCACGTCTGTCCCTCAGCAGCAGAAGCTCCACAGCTGCCGAGCCCTGGCCCCCAAGCCTCCAGCTCTTCCCTCCGCAGCCCCACCTCGGGGCCCTGCAGCCCAGGCTCTGCGGCAGGTGTGCCCTGAGCACCCTGCACACGGAGGGTTAACCTTGCAAGGGGCAGCGACCATATATGGGAAACCCGGCCCTTTGAGCCTGTGAGGAGCTCCCGTCCTGCCTCTCTGGCTGCAGTCCCAGGCCCCGGCCCGGTGGCCGCCCCGCCACCCCGAGCATGCGAGTGGCACTGGCCATGGCTGCGTGGATCATCGCCCTGCTGCCCCAGGACGGGGTCGCCACCCACGCTCTGCCGGGCATCGAAGATGAAGCCTTCAGCCAAGCCTGCGTCCGGGCTCACAACAAGTTCCGATCGGAGGTGAGCCCCAGGGCCAGCGACATGCTGTACATGGTAAGGGGTGCCCAACGCCTCACCCGGGGATCCTCGCTGCTCCAGAAGCTCCTTTCCATCAGGACTAGGGGGGCAGCAGACTGGCCACCGTGATGGAAGGGATCGGGGAGCCCACCCGTGCCCCCCCCCACCAGCGCTTCCCGGTGGCTCACACACTCCACACTGTGTCCCTCGCTCTCTTCCCTGTCGGTGTTTTAAGGGTGTTTGGTCTCTGAATTTACTTTCTTTTGCTGATGGCAGAGGATTGACTTTCTCAGGAAGCGGCACAGGCTCTCGGGAAAGGAGCAGCCGGGCTGGGGTTCGAGTCCCAGCTGCGCCGCCCACAGCCCAGCCTAAGGCTTCTGGTTCTGAGCACCTGGGGTGGGGTGGGGGCGTTGCTGCTGGAAATACAGACCGGGCCCCACAGCATCCGTGTCCTGCCGGCCACAGTGGCCGGTGTCGCTCACGCAGCCGCGAGTCCACACCCCGCAGTCACCAGGCTTTGTGCTGGCCTGTCCGGGCTGGACGGCCACATGCACCCGAGGCGCAGGGGGCCCTGTGTCCCCCAGCCGGCAGGCCACCGCCGGTCCTCCTCCCTCACGTGCTCACCTTGCCCCCCCCATGCCCACTCTTCGGCATCGGCTCTCATTCTCCGTTGGGAGGAACCTGAGCTTTCCCCGGAGGCTGGGCCCCCGGGCGAAGGCTGAGCAAATCAGGGCTCTGTGCCCCCGAGGGTGGTAAAGGGTGGGGACTGCTCAGGGCCAGGGCAGGGGGCTGCTCAGGGCCGGGGCGGGGGGCTGCTCAGGGCCGGGGTGGCGGTGGGCGACGTTCCTGGGCTCCCCGGTGGTGCGGCCTGCAGCGTGCAGCCTGAGGGGTGCGAGGGGCCCTGCCTGCCCCACCGGCCGCATGAGGCTGGAGGGCCTCTGACCAGCTTTCTCACCTCCCATGGTGGACGCCGATCCCTCTCAACTTTTCCTCCTCTCTGTAGTTGAAAGATCTTTACGAAATCTGGTTTTCGTTCTTGATCCTCCTACTGTTTAATGTTTCTTTTTGCAGACTTGGGACCCAGCACTCGCCCGAATTGCCAAAGCCTGGGCCAGAAACTGTAGATTTGAACACAATGGACAGCTGCACTCAAAGACGCTGCACCCAAACTTCACTTCGGTGGGAGAGAACATCTGGACTGGGTCTGTGTCCATATTTTCTGTGTCTTCAGCCATCACAAGCTGGTACAATGAAGTTCACGACTATGATTTCCAGACGCAGAAATGCAACAAGGTCTGTGGCCATTACACTCAGGTAAGTGTCTGCCCTGGATTCTCTTGAAATCAATATTTCTAACAGTAAGGAGAAAACTGGAATCTGGCGTTCGGAAAATCTATAGTAAGCTGCTGCACCTGCAAATATGAAAGAGCCGGGGGTGCAAGCTTATCTTAAAAATAAATGCATGGGCAGAAGCGCCTGGGTGGCTCAGTGGGTTAGGCGTCTGCCTCTGGCTCAGGTCATGATTCCGGGGCCTGGATGGAGCCCCGCACCCCATTTCCCTGCTCAGCGGGGGCCTGCTTCTCATTCTCCGTCTGCCCCTCTCCCCACTCGTGCTCTTTCTGCCCCTGTCTCTGTCTTTCTCAAATAAATAAATAAACTGGAGCAAATTGCAGACACAGAAGAGGTGGTGCACGAAGGGTTCCGTTATGTGCATAAACATAAAATGTGAGGCTCACCAACCTGGACAGACTGAATATTCTGGTAGCAGTACCTCCCTGGGGCACTTAATGCCATTTGAGAGCCACCAGAGGACTTTAGGAGTGAACGGGTTTTCGGGTGTGCATCTCCCATGGAATTGGAGGCCCCTGACTTGGGACCATACAATTGGGGGAAATAAGCTCCCCTGAAGGAACAGCGATTCCATGTCCCCCTGTCCTGTCAAGCGCGGCGGAGAGCCAAGACGCGTCACATGAGGAGGAAGACAACCATGGACAGGCCAGCGTGTAAACGCGTATAACCCTCCTGCACCTATTCCGCCCCCAGATCTCCCGTATTCCGTCCCAGTGGCCACATTCAGAGGCTCCCGATTGAGACTGTTTTGCTTTAACTCAAGGTGGCTAATTCATTCCCTTTCCCTTCCCGGCCTTCCCTGTCACGCCAGTGACTAAGGTGCTGAGTCATGTCTGACTGATTCTAATGGACAAGAATGTGTTGAAATGAGGAATGAGGGGGAAACATTGTCATGAAGCGGGAGAGCGAGGTTCTTGTCTCACAGAGTCAAAGAATGAGTCTTGGGATGCAGGACAGTGAGCCAGAGCGACAGCGTTGTAGCGGGTGAGGACGCGGAGAGAGCTCTCAGCAGTGGGGGGTCCCGAACGGTGTGTCCCTTACTGAGAACTGACTAGGAAGCTTGTGGTCTTGAGATCCTTGTGCCATCCTGGTTTGAGTGAGGACTCGTGATACCACCTTTAAATGGCTCCCTTTGGGGCCTGGTTTTCTTTGCTTCACAGGTGACTGTCATAAAAATGACACCCTCCCCGCCCACACCCAGGGCAGGGTGGCCTGCTTGCTCCCTTATCTCTGGCTTCCTTACATCTCCGCATTTTTGGGATTTCTGTGAGCCTGATCCTGTAGCCTTCTATCTCTCCCTACCTAGTCCTGCTGTTCCTTACTCACAAACAAGGTAGTTACCTTGAAATAATAGGGGTTTTTAAAGAGCAAAATGTTGTTGGAAAGACTTTCAACGTAATTCAGCCTATAGAGCCTCTGCTGTCGCCTGTGCTGTTACAGGTAAACAGGTTTGGCATGGCTCCGTATTATTATGATGTGAGAGGAAGGGCAGATTTCGGTGACATTTTCATCTCAAGATCATCCTAAGCAAGGAGGAGCCATCAAACCACCAGTAGCACTGACCCCTTTCTTGAAACTATAAATAAGGTTTCCCCTACACGTATCCCATAACCATTTATCTTGGCTTATGTTTACAAAACATTTTAATCAGAAAATTTATTCCATCAGAATTCCATACATCCTAGCAGGCCAGAAAGCCAAATCCACGTGGTACAAGTGGTACCTGGTGCCATTAAACACAGCGCAGGTGAAATCTCTGAAAACTGTCATTTTGAGGGTACCGACTGTCATTCATTCCCTGTTTAAGCGTCTAAGCTGTTCCAGGCGCCATGTAAGGCGGCCACCGACCACAGGTCTCTGCAGACCCCTGCGAAACAGAGCCCGGGAGAGCAGCTTACGTCCTAACACCGTGTGAGGACTACAGCTGCCAAGCCGGGAACGTGAGCAGGAATCCGGGGTGGGGCAGGGAGTGGAGGACGCAGGCGGCGCCTGGCCCTTGGGAGGTGACTTGTTCCAGGAGAGACGTGTGTTAGTGGATGTCAGAGGGGACATGCCTGGGGCGACGTGGAGAAGCGGGCAAGGTGCCGTGTGAGCAAAGGACATGGCAAGCTATCTGGGCAGAGTGGGGAACAGGCGGCGGCAGTTGCTTACGCAGCCGGAGCCGGAGCCCTTGGTTCTAGAAAACGAAGTGAGAGTTTGTCAAATGAAAAGGAAGAGGATTCCAGGCAAAATGAACAGGGTGTACGGTGGGTACCAATGAGCCTTGAACCCCAGAAGAATGGCTAGTGGCCCAGCAGCCCGAATACACGAAGATCAAAGGGCTGGTAAGCTGAGCGCAGACCCCTAGGCGGCCACGTCACGCTCCATGTCCGTCGTCCAGGGACTAAGGACCAAAGGCAGGAACTTCATGTGACATCAAGTAGACTTGAGATTTCAGAGCTGGCCCTCCCCAAATAGCAGAGCGCACTTGTAGGGTTTCCCTTACATCGGGATGAGCGGAGAAGGGGTAGCATTGGGGCCTGAGAGAATCCACTCCTGGCACGCAGGTGTCAGGGCCCAAGCTGCGGATCCTTCCCTGTTCTCTCTCTGAGACCAGCACCTTCTGCCCCTGGGGACCAGGCCCAGGGACGCCCGGGCTGGGGCAAGGCAGCCGCAGCAAGCACTCTGAAGGGAGCTTGGTACTCCACTCCCCGCGGCTTAAGGTGTCACTCGCAGGTCACCACAGACCTGGGAGGGCGCCGCAGTCACCCCCAGGTGCACCCACAGGTGCAGAGGGGTCCAGACGCTGTTGCGCAGGTCTTGCATCCCGCACGCACCCAGTCTCAGCTGGTCTGCAGGAGACCCTGAGAGTCTAGCACCCCTGCAGGGCCTGATTTCTGCTCCAGGCAGAGGAAAGAGACTCTCCTGAGCCTGGAAGCTGCGAGCCGTGTGGGCCCGTGCGCTCCGTGAGAGAGGACCCGGCTGCCCACGGGGGGCCCATCATGCGGGGCCCATCCACTGCCGCTTTCCTTGCAGAAGTGAGGAGTGAACAATGTCTCTGGGTTGGGGGGTGGCTGTTCACAAACCGAGGGGAGGTGCCCTGGTGCCCACGGGTGGCCAGGCCGGGTCCAGGGAGGCTGCCAAAGCTCGGCCCACAGCTGTGTGGACGGGAGACCCGGAGAGGAGGATGCGGGTGACGGTCCGGATCCTGGGGAGTTGATGCAGCTTCCGAGAACGCAGCAAACTGAATGGAGCCCAATGCTGAAGGAGATAGAACTGAAGAAGTTACTGGGAGCTGCTATTTTATATTATGACTGCTTTTAAAATTTTTGTTCCTGGACGCCTGGCTGGCTCAGTTGGTTGAGTGTCTGCCTGAGGTCATGATGCTGGGGTCCGGGATGGAGCACTGGGTTGTCCCCCCCCCCCCCAGTCTGGGCTCCCTGCTCAGCAGGGAGTCTGATTCTCCCTCTACCCCTCCCTCCTGTTCACATTCTCTTTCACATAAAATAAAAAATAAATCTTTACAAAATAATAAGATAAAATGTTCGTGGATCTGGTAAAAATCTGGATCTCTGACATTTTTAAGCCCCAGCTTCTTGGACAGTGCAGTTCTTTTCAGTTTTGGTTTAGACGCCATTCATTCTTTGCTGCTGATTAAGCTGAAGAAGCCTGAGAATAATGTTTGAAACACGGTTAATAAAGCTCTTTGCCTAGTACAAAAAAGAGGAAGAAGAGGAAAAGGAAGAAGAAGAGGAGGAGGAAGAGGAAGAAGGAGAAGAGGAAGAAAGAAAGAGAAGTTGTTTTCTCGGTGACACAGCTCGCAAGAGGAAGGAGCTGGGTCAGGCATCAGGAATGGGTGAGGAGTAATAGTAGGATGCATATGAATCATCTGGTCAGGGCGGGTACTTTGTGGGCATTAACAAAGGTTAGATCTCTTGTTTTTTTAGCAGCTACACTGGGGGTAGGAACACGTCAACAGCCTGGTTAAAGATGACTGTGTTACAATGTAATGGTTTCATCATTGCAAGAAATCTTATACTGGAGAGTCAAGACTACTCAACTGCCATTTTAAACTCTTGCAAGAGATGACCTCAGGTGGCAGTATGATCTCTCACTTAGCCTCATCTTCTATTAATAAAAAGCAAGCTATTTTCAGATTTCGGCTGGTGGGGGTTCGTTGTATGGAGTAAAGACAATAGACGTAGATCCAATTACTAAGTCATACAGGTTTGGGATTTCTTGACACATTAGGTCAACGCTTCAACACTCTAGCTCGGTCTTCACTGGAGATGATAGGTTTGCATTCTGGAAGAGTTCTGGTACATTAATATGGGAGATTATTTTGTCGCAGGCAGTCCGCCCTTATAAAACTTGGGAGTTGCCTGACTTCAAGATAGGGGCAGCTGCTTAGGTTAGGTAGTGCTGAGAATGAGCCCTAAATGGCACCACAGATCTCATTTTTGTTCAGTCCAGGCCGCACTGCCACCCTCTGGAGATCATTATTTTTACAGTTACTTAACCAAAGCAGGTGGGACACGTTTCAGTTTCTCTACCTGGTTTAATGTATGTTGCAGTGTTACTACGCTCGTGAGATGGTGCCAGATATCGAGCCAGGAGAACTCATACTGAGCCTTGAAGGATGTTGGGAAGGGGATGTTAGCTCCAAAGGGCAGACGTGCCTGCCCCCAGTAGGCTCCCGGACGGAATGTTTTTGTTGGAAAGGTACAGAGAGTGGTTCCTAGTTCCATGAAAAGGGAAAGCACTTGGATGGCGGCGTGCTCAGGGCGTGGACTGTGCCCAAAGTACGTTGTGGTGAAGCAGAAGTAGGTTTCAACACTCATCTGCAAAACCAGGGCCATGTCTCTTTAGTGATGTGTCATGAAGTTACACCTGAGGCTGCATGTAAAGCGCTCAACACTACCTTGGCCTCAAGTAAATTCCCAGTAATCAGTGGTTCTCACTATTTTTTTAATAATTACTTATTTTTCTTCACCATACTAAAGGAAATGAAAACATACAACAGGAATCTGATTCAAAATTTTTGAATATATTCAAAAATTTTGAAACAAAAAAAACTAGAGAATAAAACATGAACATGTGCTGAGGGCTTGCTAGGTTGCAGCAGCTGTTCTGAGCGCTTTCTTACTAGCCCTTTGAGAATGTCGAAATAGGCCCGTGGAGTCAGTAGTGTTATCCTCACTAAACAGTCAAGGAAGCCAAGGCCAAGGTCACACGGTGAGTGGCTGAGCCGGAATAGGAACTCAGTCATTGTAACCCCAGAGCCCACAGGTTGAACCCAGAACCTGAATGCCCATACCCATTTCAAGCTTTTGAAAAAAGACCAACTGGAATGAAAAGTAAACCGTGGGACATCTGTGCAGTAAAGTAGTGAACCCAACAGCACAAATGGATCTCAAATGCTTATGCTTTGTGCAAGAAGCCAGGGTGGAAAAGCTACATTTATATAACATTTGATTCCATTTATATAACATTTTGGAAAACACAAAACGATGGGGACAGAAAACGGATTGGTGATTCCCAGGGGCCAGGGCTGGGGGTAAGAACTCATCACAAAGGAGCACAAGGGAACTTTTGGGGGTGATGGAAATGTTCTAGGTTGTGGCTACACAGCTATGTTTTTGTCAAAATTCATGGAACTGTACACCTAAAAAGGATGTCATTTACTGTGTGTTAATCACAAACTGACTTAAAAAGAGACCGATTAAAACAAAATGAATGCAGGGCACCTTGGTGGCTCAGTGGTTGAGCATTTGCCTTTGGCTCACAGCGTGATATTGCTTCTCCCTCTGCCTTTGCCTCTGCCTCTCTCTCTGCATCTCTCATGAGCAAATAAATAAAAATCTTAATAAATAAGTAAATAAATGGTAACTAACATTTCATATCCTTGGAAACAGAACAGAAAACAAAAGCCACAGTGTAAAAGCATTCAAGAGTTGTGTGTGGGAAGCCCAAAGATGGAGAATACTCGAGGTAACAAACACCTGAAGAAAGTGCTCAAAGATCAAAGGATAAAAAATATAAAATGATGTACTAAGGTGATAGTAAAAGGAACACACGGGAGACATTGCACCCAGTTAGCGTGCATAGTAATCACCCGAGGAACTTAAAATATAGATTTTATTCTTTTTTATGACTGAATAATATTCCTATATATGTAATACATTTTCCTGGAGAACAGATTCTATTTGGTCCCAGTCCAGCTCCCAGCTCGGGCCTGTGCACCGCGTCACCATCCCCATTCCCTGGTCCCAGCCCAGCTCCCAGCTCCCAGCTCCCAGCTCCGGCCTGTGTGCCACCCGCCCGCAGGCTTTGCTCCCACATTCAAGCCTTGTGTGTGGTCGGTCGTCCCCGCTCCCCAGCCTTCCCGGACACCTGCCTCATCCCCTCCTCCCCAGTACCCACTACTTTATTTCTGTGCCAGAAATGGTCTCGTGTCGTGTACGTTTATCTCACATGCTCACAGCCCAGTAATAACCATCGCAAGTCCCATTTCCAACTGAATTCTGAGCGCCGGAGTGCCCCTGGCAGCAATGGCTCTTCCTGACGACAGTGAGCACCCTGCTGTGTGGATGAAGCCCTCATCAGCCTCACACGTTCACCTTCCTGTCTCTCCTGACTTTCTCTCAGGTCGTCTGGGCAGACAGTTACAAGGTTGGCTGCGCAGTACAGTACTGTCCCACAGTTGCCGGCCTGCAATTTTCCAACACAGCGCATTTCATATGCAACTATGGACCAGGGTAAGTATCCAAATCAACCTCTTTCTAAAAAAATTCTTTTTGAATCTACTTTAGAAGTCTTATCTTCATTATAGAAATTTGGTATAAGGAAAGTATAAAAAAGGAAATTAATATCGTTAATTCCTCTATGCAGGGATCTACTCCATTAATACCTGGTGCTTTTTTTGTAATATATGCGTGTCTGTGTGCACCCTTTACAAGCACTACATAAACACGAAGAGTGGTATTTTTAAGAGTGGTAAGACTAAAATGTTCTTAGGGATGTAGATCAATGGGAAACAGTAATAACACCCCAAAATGGAAGGACTGATGTTGCTTCGTATGTGTGGGTTTATTAAAAACTTGGCATGTTTTACACAATTTTCAAAACAAAAAAATCTGAATTTCTCAACTTACATAATTTATTTCATTTAATTTTGCAAGTTTTGGTTTAAAATGGGTACAGTTTTTCTTCCTTTGGAAATCAGGGTAGATTCATGACGTACTCCCTCCCCTAGCTCTCTTTAAACATATGTGTGTTTATGAATCCTACATGTCATTATTGAGAAAATGGAGATCATACTGGAAATGCACGTTTTATACTCACTTAAAATTATACTAAGAGCATTCTCCACATCATTAAACTTAAACATAGTGTCGGTAGTCAGAAAAATAATGAGAGCAGTGCTTCACAAAGGTGGCGTTGATGGTGGAGGAGGGAGCCCCTGTACCTCCCAGAGCCAAAGCCAAGGCTGTCAAGGCCAAGAAGGTGGTGCTGAAAGGTCTGCTCTCACCACACCGACTCCGCTTCAAAGGCAGCCCAAATACCTTTGAAAGGGTGCCTCCACGAGACCGGCTTGATCACGGTGCCTTCGGGTTACCCCGCTGCTGAGTCAGTCATGAAGGAAGCACAACACAACCATGGAGTCACCGTGGACGTGTGCCAGGCCAGGCTGAGAAGCAGCTCTGCGACCTCGTGGCCCGGCCGCCGCCCCATCAGGCCCGATGGACAGAAGCATGTGTTCCCCTGGCTCTTTACTACGGTGCTTCGGTTGTTGCCCACGGAACTGAGTACATCTAGGGCACCTGGGGGCTCAGTCAGTTAAGGCTCTGCCTTCAGCTCAGGTCCTGATCCTGGGGTCCAGGGATTGAGCCCCCAGAGGGCTCCCTGCTCAGTGGGGAGCCTGCTTCTCCCTCACCCTCTGCCCTTCCTAACCCCACTTGTGCCCCCTCTCTCTCTCTAATAAATAAATAAAATCTTTTAAAAAAATTGGGATCATGTAACCTGAGTCCAGCTGATTAAACATATATATTTCCACTATAAAAAATAAAGTAACACTTACACAATGCTTACTATATGCTAAGCACTTTTAAAAAAAGATTTTATTCATTTATTAGAGAGAGAGGCTCACATGGTGGGTGTGCAGGTGGAGGGCTCAGGGAGAAAATCTCAAGCGGACTCCACGCTGAGCATGGAGCCCCATCCGAGGCTCCAGGCCACGACCCACGAGATCAAGACCTGAATGGAAACCAAGGACGCTTAACTGATGGAGCCACCCAGGCCCCACTCCACTCTTCCAAGGGCTTAGCACATATTTACTTACTTAATCTTCACGAAACGTCTTGAGACAGGTCCTCTTACCATCCCTGTTTGGCAGATAAGAGAACGGAAGTGCTGACCGGGTGAGTAGTCTGCCCAGGGCTCCAGAGCTGGTGACTGTTTCACATGCCACCGTGTCACAGCTGGACGGTGACCTGGGCTGTCTGGCTTCTGGGTCTGTGCTCTACGTGGTCACACAGCAGCTTCTCCTACTCAAGAGTTTAGATTGTCTGTATTTTCTTTTACTATCTGATGAAAAACCTTGTATAGAACTTTGGTCCTAACTTTGTGGATTTCCCCACAATTCCTAGAAATACTATACCAAGTAAAAGGTATGATCATCTTTAAGTTTTTAAAGATGCATACGGCCAACTTACCCTCCGCTATTATACCGACGTATACTCCTTCATTAGAACTGGATGTTATATTTTTTTAGTATTTTCTAATTTGATGCAAAGTGTTACCTTGTGTTTTCTTTTGCATCTCTTTTGACTACTAGTGATTAACAGATTTTCATCTGACTGCCTACTCACATTCCTTCTTTTGTGAATCCTATAGTCTGCTCATTTTTCCACTGGAGTGATTCTCTTAATGATTTATGGAAGTTGTTTATACTTTAAAGCTTTTACTGTCATATATACAACAATCTTTTCTTTAATCGGTTGACCTTGAATTTTGTTTGAATTTTACCAATCTTTGGGATTCCAAAAGATATGCTAGAAGGCGGCTCTCTTCCCCTGAAGTAAAATTCAGAAGAAATGTTTGATAGTCTGAGTGTAGGTGGGAGTGGAGGGACCAAAATCAGGTGTCAGCTTTGACTGAAAACCCCAGAGTCAGAAAATAGGGAAAAATCAGGAAAAACCAGCCAAAGTCAATGGCTGGTTAATTGCCATTAAGTCAATCAGTGGTGACTTTTCGCAACATCTATATAGTTTAATGGTTAAGATGCAGGGTCTTGGGACTCACTGTGGGGCCCTGGACAAGTTACTTAACCTCTCTGAACCTGTTTCCTCTGTAAAAGATCAGGATAATGAAAGCACCAACTACTCACCAAGCAGCTATGAAAATTACGTGAGAAAGCGATGTGAAGCACGAGGTTATGCGCAACAGCTGGCAAAGGTGATTATTTGAGAAGTATTCAGATATTGTGGTTACAACAAGGAGACACGGAGGTGAAGTCTCCTGGTTTAGACTCCCTTTGGTTCACTTCAGAGTTCTAAACAGTAAGTCGTAACACTAATAACCAGTTATAATGCTTCTGTAGGGTGACATTCACTTATTCATACAAATCAATGGGTTCATACCTTCAAATATTCAACAAGTGTTTGTTTACTGAGCTCCGAAGGAGAACCAGCCAGCTGGAGTCCCCGCTCGCATGGGGCACAGAGACAATAAAAATACAAATAAAATAACTGCATGATGAAAGGAGTCACGAAGGAACTAGCACTACTACTATAGTCAATGCTATCGACAGGCAGGGGCCTTACTTGGATAAAGTGATGTATTTGAGTGTAGGCATGAAGAAGAGAATCCGGGCGCGTGGGGAACTTCACAGACGTCCTGCAGAAAACACATGCAAAGCTTCTGCGGTGAGGATTCTGGAGAGGACGGAAGAGCAGAGTGCGAGGGCCACCGGGTGGCCTGCCCCTGGCCAGTCAGCTCAGGCCTCGGGGGCCGGGGCTGCGTTAACTGTAGCCACGTCGCAAGAGGAATCACCCAGGTCTTTTAAGCAAGTGAGTGACAGGACCTGCTTTAAATGGGAGATCGTTCTGTAGACGCGGAACACGGACTGGAGAGCACAGTGCGGGTGACGGGGTGCACGGGCACTAGGTCGGGATGTCCTCAGTTTCTACGCCTTGTGGTGCAAACGGTCCTAGGCCCCCATACCACAGAATTGTAAGAAGTCCAGTACCACCCCCACCCCCCGTATGTCTGAGATTTCCAAAGGGTGGGGTGCAGGGCGCCTGGTTCTCCTGTCACCTGGAACTCCTGCTCCAGAGTCCGTAACTGCTGGGGAGTTTCGACACCTCGTCCTGACTGCTTCTGGTCATTCTGATCGGCATGTTTCAAACGTGGACACAACTATCCCTTCCTTCCCTTGGGCCTCCCTGAGCAAGGTGACCTTGTGACGAGCGGAAAAGAGGATTCCGTGTGGAAGAGGAAATGACAACCTTGACCAGCAGATACTACCTCCTGTACCCTGCCGTAACGACCCTTATATTTACCTTTTTCATTAAAAATCTTATCTTGGGGACGCCTGGGTGGCTGTGGTTGAGCGTCTCCCTTCAGCTCAGGTCGTGACCCTGGAGTCCCGGGATTGATCCCATATGGGGCTCCCTGCAGGGAGCCTGCTTCTCTCTCTGCCTGTGTCTCTGCGTCTCTGTGTTTCTCATGAATAGATAAAATCTCAAAAAAAAAAAAAATTTTTCTGGGGGGTGCCTGGCTGGATAGTCAGGAAAGCTTATGACTCTTGATCCTGAGGTTGTGAGTTTGAGCCCTATGCTGGGCACAGAGAATACGGTAAAAAACAAAGAAACAACAAGAAAACCTGACTTTTCTCTTCCCGTGTCCTGGGGCCCTCTCTCTTCTTGCTCAGGCTACCAGGGAAACACTAAAATTTCTTGCTTCTTTATGAGAACCCTTCAGGGCCTTGGGTCTCCATTGTTCCCATCCACATAAACGCAGGCCTTCCCAGGAGCACGTTTCTCCTGGGATGAATCTGCCATTTCCCTAATATTCACAACTGCCTTGTCTTTAGCCTGTTTTTTGGTAGTAAGTTCTCCATCTTCTCTATAGTGTGGAAATCACAATTCAACAAAGAATGAAATTGCATGAATGATTTTATTAAAAACACTCTAGAACTTGACCACTCAACGAGTACTGTGCTTTCTAACAATGAAAGATGTCACTGTGATTAACACGCACCTCGAATGTCTTTTATAATTGTTACCAGAATATTCCTTTGACGATTTTCCACAGTGTAAAGTAAACATGAAGATAAACTTAGTTTCTGAATCAACCTAAATTAATTTGGAGCCAAACAAGATTAGAACATGTATTTGGTGTTGGAAATGAGGCGCTAATATATTAAAAAGTAATGTCTCCTTAACTTTGGTTCTTAACCAAACTTCCTTAACTTTGGAGGTAAAGGTATAGTGTTAGGGGAGGGGAGTCCAGGCCATAAACTTGGATTAGAAAAAAGTTACATGTTTATTGTCATTCACCTCTACTGAAAATTACATTTCATTATGTACGAAGACAATGCTTCAGTCACATCAGCAGTACGTGACCTGGTGTTGGTACTGCATCTATCTTTGTAAATACCAGATGTTTTCATATCACATTCTACTTGCTGCAGATATCTTAAAATATGGTTTTAATTTATCGTGAAAGGGATAAGAATCATTAGAATTCTTGCTAGGTCTTATTTAATATTAATACTTAAACAGAGAAGCACATATTGCTGTATCACAAATATTTCTAACATTTTGATCACTATTTAAACTTAGTTTCCTTTATAATCTTACAAACTTGATTTTACGCACCTAAAAACAAACATTCAGGGCACCTGGGTGGCTCAGTCGGTTAAGTGTCCAGCTTTTGATCTTGGCTAAGGTCTCTATCTCGGGGCTGTGAGCTCAAACCCTGTGTTGAGCTCCACACTGGACATGGGAGCTTACTTAAAAAAAAAAAAAGTAAAAATAAACTATTTTGAGAGTCCATCGGCTCCACCATGACACAAAAAAAAAGTTAAGAACTCCTTTCCACAAGAGATGAGTAGGGCAGCCCCAGTGGCTCAGCAGTTTAGTGCCACCTTTGGCCCAGGGCATAATCCTGGAGACCCAGGATCGAGTCCCAAGTCGGGCTCCCTGCATGGAGCCTGCTTCTGTCTCTGCCTCTCTCTCTCTCTTTCTGTGTGTCTCTCATGAATGAGTAAATAAAATCTTAAAAAAAAAAAAAAAGAGACAGATGAGTACAATGGCAGATTTACTGAAATGCACTTGCAAGTCTCATTATTACTACTCTGAAGATGTTCATGGGGATTTAAAAGTCTGAATGTTTCACTTTCTAGTGTGTGACCTTGGTCAATTACTTATACTTTGTGCCTCAGCCTCTAGCTATATTGCGGATATATAAATAACCGTGTCTTACCCATAGGTTACTGTGAAAATTAATTCATTCAAGGATTCTTAGCTTAGTACAGTAGTTACTATATATTATTCACCTCACATCTTTTACATGAAAACAAATTTCCCTTTAGAAATTTCCCCAATCTCTTGTTATTTTCTTTTGGAAGGTACTCAACTCAGGCAAATGAGTCCTGTCCAATAAAAACTAAGGAGGCTTGCTAAACTGAGAAGAGTAAGTATGGGTCATGATACCTTAGGATGGGCAGTTTTTCGGATAGTAGTAATCGCACAAGCCAGACAGTTTAAGTAGGCGGAGTGTTGCCCTGGAGTCAGACAAATTCAGGTTCCCTTGGTACTCTAACATGTATACATTGTGATTTTTGACAAGATAATTTCTTAAGAGCTTTAATTTCCTTATCTGTAAAATAAAAATAAATTTCCCGAGTTGTCTTAAGAATTAAATGAAACTATATAGGTGAAAATATAGGTTCGCAGACACAGACACCATAAACTCTGTTAATGTTAACTTCCATTTCCCTCACCAACCCTCTGAATCCGTGGACTTGCATCCTATGGATTTAGTCAAAGATTCGTACTAAATTTCGTTGCAAAAAAAAAAAAAAAAAATCCCTCCAAACGTACAGCTTTTTTCTATTTTATAGACAAAGCTACCGAACGCCATACAAAAGAGGATCTACTTGCAGTGCCTGTCCCAATAATGACAAGTGTTTGGATAATCTCTGCAGTGAGTAAAATGAAAAATCTACCAATAATACAATGTGTCTGAAACGATTATAACTGTGGAATTAAGAATGCAAATATTGGCTTTATCCTAATAGCAATTTTCAGGGAAGCTGGCATCAGGTAGCAATCAAACTGATGGCTTACTGTCCTAATAATGAACATTTATTTAAGGTAAATTTAAGGAAGCCAATAATAGACTTCTTAGCTGTAATCAGTAAATGGAGAATGACTACGAGAATAAAAACTGTAGATGCAAGATTTGCTAATTTCAGCAAGATTAGAAAAACAAAACAAAACAAAACAAACTGCTTTGTAAACTCTGAATTCTCATCTTCACTCCAGGTACAGACAGCCACCCTTTTTCAATCAGCTTTCTGAGCCAGTCATAGCTTTCCTAGTTTAACCATTCATTTCACTTAACAGCAGTTTTGCTAAAAGAACTCGGGGTAACGTGTAGCAGCTCTGCAATCTCTTCTCAGAGTATCAACATATTAACTGAATATTTCCTTTCATGTTGCTTCAGCACTACAAAGCATAGTATTTTTTTTCCTCCAGTTAGGCAGTATAACACAGGAATTAAAACCACACATTCTTGAAATAATATGCCCAAGTTCAATTTCCAGTTCCACCACTATGACCTTGGGCAACCACAGGAACGGGTTTCCTCAATAATAAAATGTAGATGGCAGTATCATCTGTTTGATGAAACAGATTAAGGAAAAAAGAAAAAAAATTTATATCTAGAACAAGAGTCGTGCATACAGTAGCACTCAATAAATATTACCTATTAACCACAAATTCATCCTTCCTATACACCCAAATGTTGAGTTTACTTGGTATTTTCTTTATGCCCAAATTTTGTGACATTTTTATGCCACGAACAATTGTCGTGGCATAAAAATGCTTAAATGCTTCTTTAAAATCGGGATGAAAACTAAGAATTATTTTAAATTATTTAAAGAGTAATTTAATTATTGCTACTGTTTAGCTCTCTTCCCCTCTAGAGTTTGAATTTCAAACAGGTAGGAACTATGCTAATTCACTTATACTCTACTCTGGCTGGCAAATAAGCACTAATTTGAAGGCATATTTTCTTAAAAAATATTCCTTCTCTTTAAAAATCTAGTAATTAGTAACAACTCTGTATGACAAGAAGAAAGTTCCTGGACTTTTAGCTTTTGATTTTGGAACTAGCTTGAAATAGCTTCTAATCTTGTGGGATATTCAGAAAATTAAGGCTGTGGTTCAGTAATGAAAAAGCCCTGGGCCCTTAAGAAAATTAAGGGCAAATAAGCTACCGTGCATGAGGGTAAGGGTTAGAGGATAAAAGCTTTTATTGAACAGATTCCATATCTGACAAATTATGACAAATACTAGAGAAAAAAGTTCCTTTCTGGTCCTCTAGGTACCATTGGCAAGTTTAATAAATACCCGTGGAGGCCCAATCAGGATGGTTCTGCATAATATGCCGGGTATGCCAATGATACTTGGGATGATTCTAGCAAGTACATGAATGCACGTTAGTTTCAATATTCAGGAGCTGAATATTTAACATTGGAGAAAGAATATAACTAGCACAGCAAATCCTTGATTTCATGGTATTAAATGCCCAAAAAAAGTTAAAGCAGCAGCAGCTCCCTGGTAATCCACCACAGACAAAGCCCAAACACAGGTATGATGCTTGGGGATGCTCACAGACACCCAGCCAGCTCCTTGCTGGATTCCACCACAGAATTCAACAGCAGCTGGCACAGAACTGATGTAGAAAAGGTATCTATTTAATAAAAAAAGTATCAAGAACGCTCAGGCAGATGTAGAATTTTCTACCTACTCCTCTGAATGTCAAAATCTGAATAAAGCTCAATGAAAGGAGAGGAGTTATTATGACATGACGAGAACCAAATCCCTGTAAGAGGTCACAGTCTCTTTATTACTGACTGATCATTAATAGTATATTCTTTTCAGGGAGGAACTTATTTCCAGGAAAATATTTTAATGAATTGCTCACATTGACTGTTACTAATAATTATTTTTAGTTTTAAATTCTAATGGTTTAATTTTTAATTGTATTTATTTGTTGGTTATGGTACATAAAATGATTTTCCACTTACAATAGTGGTAAAATGAAATAAAATACAATAAGAGCCTCACCAGTACCTATTTGTCTGCCTTTACAGCTAACCCACAGCGAGACAAAGTCACACGTATGTATATAAATCTTTAATTGTGCCTTTAAGATTTATGTGAATTATATTACTGCATTCTGAGAAATAATATTTAAGAGGATATTTATGTTTGTTTCACAGGTTACTACTCTACTGTGTATCCTGACTGGCCAATATTTTCACGCAACAGATACTTATCTCTCTTTCTCATTGTTAGTTCACCAATTCTAATACTGATTGCTATAATAACCATTTGGGTCAAACATAGGTATCCTCATTTAGTTAATCTGAACTGATAAAATCCAGAAAAAACACAATTCATTCATATGTGGTTTTTATTTTTTTTTCTTTAAAATAATGGTTGGGTATATTTATTTCTAATTTTAAAACATTTCAGAAAAAAATATGTTGCAGTAAACCTTTAATCAAAAGAAAAATCTGTTCAATTTCCTCACTCTAGAATAAACTCATTTTTTACCTTCCACTTTTCTATGAATAAGCATTGTTTTCAGGCTGCTACAGCTGTGACTTTCAGTAAGTAGCCCAGCCTCTGTCTCAGCTTCTAAAACTACAAAATGAATGTGCTAGATTTAGGTGATTCTAAATAAATGACTCCGCTGGCCCTCGTTACTAAAAACATTTCTACATAACTTGTTGCATGCTGCTTCAATTCTAAACATCTGGTTTTCCCTGCTCTCTTGCAATCTGAGGTCTTTGGTTTACCACTTTCTTAGACTCATAATAGTAATTAATGGATTTAAGAGGTGTTTTTGCTTGTGGGTTGTTTAATCTTAAACATAAAATAAGATCATAAAAAGAAGCCTAAATGTTTACTCATTTTCATTAAAGAGAACTCTGTAAAATCTGTATTTATTTTGCTGAAATCCAAATGATGGGACATGATTTTATTTAAAGACTAACCAGTGGCATCAAACACTGGAACTGATGGACAATTACAATAACCACATTCCACACATCTTTACATAAACTACCTAAAAATTACACCTAAAATCATGCTAAGGCAAAACATGCCAAAACAGATAAGGTGCAATGTATACAAAGATGTATACACCACTTAGCATTACATTTTTCAAAAAACACACAGGGAATACAATAATTCTTATTTATAAAGAACAGTTGTTTATATAAACACTATTTTGAAGAATGACACAAACTCAGAAAATGTAATCAGAGTATTCCTTATCACATAGGCTGTTGACGCCCCAGTATTTCAAAATACTTTACAAAAGGATATAGCTTCATGAGTTCTCATTTAGGGACTTTTTTTAATGCTACTTTTTCTTCTTTCTTTTTTCATCTGCTTCCATTTTAAGCTTAACTTCTTCACCTGAAAGAGCTCCCAGTTTCTTATTCTTTGCTTTCTTAACCTTTTCCTTGATGGCAGCCACATCAATTTTATTTTCAGTAGAAGCTAGACAAAATAAAAATGATACATGTAATCCTTTAGATTTTACCAAATAAAACAAAGAATATATATTTGGTACAATAATTTCAAAGTACTGTAATAGGTGAAAGGTCATGTTGTTAAATATAAAACACCTGCCTAAAGGAAAGTTAGACATTTTAGACAAAACAAATTATAAAGTACTTTAAAAATACATTAATAGAAATACACATCCAAATGGCACATTAATAAAAGTACTCATGCAAATGGCATTATAGATTACCTTTTCAATTACTGAATTCAACAATATCAAAGCTACACTTATTTTCCTTAAGGTGCACTTAAGATTATTTTTACTTATATTCTTTCCCACATTTTTAGAACTTTAGAGTACTCATTAATATACCAATTTTCCATTCTGCACATTAAAATAACATAGAATTATACTTCATGAAGAATATTAACATGTAGCCCTTCTAGCTTCCATGATTTTTATTAATAATGAAGATTTGCATCAAAATCTACTTCATCTATTACCACACATAGAAACTTAAAAATAGGGGTGCCTGGGTGGCTCAGTCAGTTAGGCATCTGCCTTCAGCTTGGGTCATGATTTCAGGGTCTTGGGATTGAGCCTCCAGTCTGGGTCCCTGCCTTGCAGGGAGTCTGCTTGTCGTCATCCCTATGCCCCTCCCCCTGTTCATGTAAGGAATAAATCTTTTTTATTTTTTTAATATTTTTTTCTTTATTTATTTATGATAGTCACAGAGAGAGAGAGAGAGAGAGGCAGAGACACAGGCAGAGACACAGGCAGAGGGAGAAGCAGGCTCCATGCACCGGGAGCCCGACGTGGGATTCGATCCAGGGTCTCCAGGATCGCGCCCTGGGCCAAAGGCAGGCGCCAAACCACTGCACCACCCAGGGATCCCAGGAATAAATCTTAAAAAAAAAAAAAAAAAAACCCTCAAACTTAAAAATGAAAATTTCCAAATATTAGTTCAATAAATGACTAGTAGTATTTTACTTAATAAGGTTTTAGTAATAAAGGTAATAATCTGAGAATATCTGGAGATCCTCCTAACAGAACCCAAACCATGGACTCAATGCCAAAAACCTGAACAACAGAGAGATGAAAAAAAAAGTAGCTTTTTCTCACCATTTAAAGAACAGTATTCAGAGCACAGAAGAATCACAAAATAAACCATTATCAGACTTGAAACCTTCACTATCATGAAATAGCTACATCTCTAAACATTATAAACACAGATTAAAATGGCTACTGAATAATCTTTAGGGTAAAACTCACAGGCTGAACAAACTGTAAATTATAATGTTTATGACACTAACTTTACATAACCAATGATCTACATAGAATACAGTATTTAAATTACTGATATAATTAATATAGATACTAAAATAGTACTGGTAGGTCCGGTTTTGACCAATGGGTCAGCTACAATGATGCCAGTGACTTTTCTCCCCTCACTGTGCACTGGCTACTCTGGAAAATTACTTCAGAAAGAGTACAAGTGTTACTAGTGGGAAGGAAAATGTAGAAGAGAAAAGGATGGATCAAATACAGCTAGGAATGGAGAAGAAAAGACACAAAATTGTTTTGAGTCTTGAGGGAGGGGCAGATAGAGAAAATCCTTCAGCAGACTCCCCACTGAGCACACAGCCTGAGGCCCGGGGCTCTATCCCAGGACCCTGAGCTCATGACCTGAGTCACAACCAAGAGTCTGATGCTTAACTGACTGAGCCATTCAGGCACCCACTCTGGGTGTCTTTTTAATAATAGCCCCTAAGACCATCCTGTTATTTTGATGGTGTCCTTTAGCCCAAGGTCATCAGAAATCCGTAACAATATAGGAATGGAACTTTAAGCCACAAATCACATAAATAAAGAGAAGAAAAGCGTAACTTCTGATAAGCTCTAAGGGGCATGATAACAGAGCTTGGGGAGCTTGATGCGTTAGTTATTTTTACGTCTACAGAGGATTCATTGCTCTAATTTATAGATTCACAACAAGTCCTTGTCCAGCACAATCAGAGGTCAGGAGAGGACTGTCAACCCAGGATACTCTTAAATAGGCATTAGCTGCTAATAAAACACCTCAGTGATCTCATCTCTAGGATTAGTGATTAATGAAATGTCAAGAGAACTGATGAAAGATAATGGTTATTTCTTTAGTTAACACTCATAAAGAGATTTGGACAAATTCACTACTGGTTTACTTTTTAGATAACAGACTTCAACATCATGCCAATAATTGGAAAATAAGCATTTACCTTCCTTTGGTTTCACCACTGGTTTCTCTTTAGGTGGAATAAAAGCTTTGTTTCTTTCCTCTTGTCTCTTACTGAGAGCTTCTGCTTGTTTAGCCTGCATTATTATAAGAACGATTTATCGTTAAGTCTATACTATCAATGTTGTGAACTAGATAAGAGTCTTACCTTTGCGGCTTCCATTTTCTGACACTTCTTTTTTGACTTGCCTTCAGAAAATATTCACCACTAGCCAATTCTTTATCAATCTGTTGAAATCAGTATTTACAATTATATCAGAAATAAGGTAGATGGGAAGTCATTTCCTAAGAAAGGCATAATGCCCTTGGGATAGAAATAGTAAGGTCAAAAATCTATGATTAGTTTATAAAGGCAGTGACATAAAAAAAGATGTGCTCTCTAAGCTGAAGGGAATACACACAAAAAGCACAGAGGTAGGAAAGAGGTGATGTGTTCATGAAATATACAGCAGGCTGTTTTAGATGGGATAGAACATCAATGATTCAGGAAGATGTGAGGAAACTGGAAAGATAATATGAGGTATGCTTGAAGAAACATGAATGCCAGGTGGAGAGGGTGGGCTATGATTTAGAAATGACTGCAGGCTTCTGAGAGAAATAGAGACCAAAGCAGCATATAGAAGGTACAGAAGATGGGGATCCCTGCGTGGCTCAGCAGTTTAGCGCCTGCCTTTGGCCCAGGGCATGATCCTGGAGTCCCGGGATTGAGTCCCACATCGGGTTCCCTGCATGGGGCCTGCTTCTCCCTCTGCCTGTGTCTCTTTCTCTGTCTCTCTCATGAACAAATAAAATCTTAAAAAAAAAAAAAAAAGGTACAGAAGAAAGAAGATAAAAACACTTGGAATAAAGTAATGGCATGCAAAATGAAGAGCTAGAATTGTTAGGATTTGGGGACTAATTCAATACTAATTAGAGAAAGCACAGCTTATTCATTCAATATATAATTGATTTATCTCAAATTTACACAGATTAAATCTAAGGCAACATTTTAAACTCTTAATAATTACTAACTTCTGGGATCCCTGGGTGGCGCAGCGGTTTGGTGCCTGCCTTTGGCCCGGGGCGCGATCCTGGAGACCCGGGATCGAATCCCACATCGGGCTCCCGGTGCATGGAGCCTGCTTCTCCCTCTGCCTATGTCTCTGCATCTCTCTCTCTCTAACTATCATAAATAAATAAAAATTAAAAAAAATTAAAAAAAAATAATTACTAACCTCTTTACACAATTACTAATCATTTAATTCTTATTAACAATCCTTTGAAATAGGTATTTTTATTATCCTCATTTTATGTACAGGGAAATTGAGGCATGGGTAGGTTAAATAAATTGCCAGTCATGAAGCAAGTAAGTGGCAGAAGAAGTCAACTGGGACATTACTGTTTTTAGAAGCTTAGTCATAGAAGAGAAAGATAAGACAATTACTAACCACAGGACAGGCCCATAAGAAGTATGGCAAGTGTTATGGAAGCACAGTTGAGTAGTAAGATCACTGTACCTTCCCCCAACTAACAGTTCCTTTCTTTGCTTCCCTTTCCAGAATAGACCTCTTGATCCAACATTTCTGTTGTTTTATCACCATGATCTAGTAGAAAGGAAAGACTTTAAGATACAGCCAAGGTAGGGAATCATGAAGTAAGATCCTTCAGGAGACAGACGAAGACAGATTCAAAGAACAGGTGAAGAAAGGTTTGGTGCAGATGGAAAAGAAATCATAGGTGAGAGAAAAGGGAAGTTGAAAGAGTTCTCACTTGAGGGTCTTAAATATTGCCATAAAATAAAATGTAATGTCATCTGCTAGAGGTGAGAAGGTGCTTCAAGAATTAAGAGGACAGAGAACTACCAGACAACAGTGAGGATCTGAGCCTGGAAACGCAAAATTATAGTGGATATAGTCCAAAAATAAGACTTTCTCCAGCTATGTTTAGCAGCCACATTTTGGGAAAGAAGTCAAATTTTAGGACTGACCAAGTTTGAGAGTTTTGCTGGACAGATGTGATAGAAGGAAAAAGCAGCATAAAAGAAAAGTGACAAGCAAGAGAGAAAAGGAAATTTGGGGCAAAAAGTGAAGCCAGAAAACAAGTAAGAAAATGAGAGGCATTCATAACTTCTATTTTAACAAAAGGGTACAGATGTTAGAATTTAGGATTTCAAAACTGGAGCAGTCTGGACAGTCCGGGTGGCTCAGCGGTTTAGTGCCGCCTGCAGCAGGGGGCCTGATCCTGGAGACCTGGGATCGAGTCCCGCGTCGGGCTCCCTGCATGGAGCCTGCTTCTCCCTCTGCCTGCGTCTCTGCCTCTCTTTTTCTCTGTCTCATGAATAAATAAAATCTTTAAAAAGAGAAAACCCAAAACCCCCCAAAAAACTGGAGCAGTTATTATAGCACATGGTCATAGGACTGATGCTAAAGCAGAGTGAGAGCATTAAGGGTTAAATTCTGTGTGTGTGTGTGTGTGTGTGTGTGTGTGTGTGTGTGTTAATCCATGGAATCTTTATTGTGGCCACAGGGGCACAACGGACAGCAACTACCTAGATATAGTTTACATTCTTACTGTGCAGCCCCTACTTCCCACATTCACATACTTAGCCGATTTACACTTACCTTTGGTTTCTTATACCCTGCCCCCTACGTGTACACACACACACACACACACACACACAGTCTACCTAAATAACTCTCCATAAACTTTCTAACGAAATAGGTTAAAATAGTATCCCCCTCATGTAAAGAAATTCAACACTTAATACTGACCTGACTTTCTGGCTGTGGTGGTGAGAATGGTGTGTATTTTTTCTTAAGTTTTTTTCTTTGGTTCCTTCCGTTTATTCACATTTTGTGCTTGAACTGTGGCAAGAATCCTTCCCAACTTTGTGATCTTAATTCAGAATCTTTTGCCAACTCTTGTTTAATCATTAAGGTCTTTAGTCGTGGCGATACATAAACAAAGTAGGAATTTTTAATTAATTTTTTTAAAAAGATTTTATTTATTTATTTATTCATGAGAGACACAGAGAGAGGAAGGCAGAGATATAGACAGAGGAGGAAGCAGGCTCCATGCAGGGAGCCGAATGTGGGACTTGATCCCGGGTCTCCAGGATCACGTCCTGGGCTGATGGCTGGCACTAAACTGCTGAGCCACCCAGGCATCCACTGGAATTTTTAATTTTAATAAGCAATACATTTGTCAAACTAAGACATTATAAATATTCAATAATACAATTAAAATGAGTAGTTCTTAATCTCCTCAGTAGGAGCAAAAGATTCCATAAAAAAAAAGTAATATCAAATCAAGCATCAGAAAACAATTAGAAATTTAGATTAAGAAATGCAGAATTATTGGGGCGCCTGGGTGGCTCAATTGGTTAAGCATCTGCCTTCGGCTCAGGTCATAATCTCAAAGTTCTGAGATTGAGCCCTGAATCAGGCTGCCTGCTCACCAGGACCAGGAAGTCTGCTTTTCCCTTTCCCCCTCCCCTTCTCTCTCTCTCTCTCTCTCTCTCTCTCTCTCAAAAAAAAAATAAAAATAAAAATAAACAAATAAATGAATAAATAAAAACGCAGAACTATTAAAATAGAGATCAGAATTGAGATGAGACTAAGCTTTTCAATCATTAGTTCATTAAAACTCTTAAAATTTGGGGAGCCTTGGTGGCTCAGGGTCATAATCTCCAAGTCTGGGATGGAGCCCCGCATCAGGCTTCCAGGGAGTCTGCTTCTTTTTCACTCTCTCCCTCTGCCCCTACCCATCACTTGTTCTTTCTCTCTCAAATAAATAAATAAAATCTCTAAAAAACAAAAAAATCTTTAAAATACAAATTATTTGGAGCAGGGAGAGTTCTTAATTAGCAATGTTCCCTAAAAGCTGGAAGTTTTGGGTAGCACTTTAATTATCACAGGGAAAGAAAAAAGCAAACTTTCTCTTGATCAGACAAAAGCAATATTCTCACATTTCTCCCACTCCATTTGAATTCTGTACACATTGGAACATCAAAGGATGCCAATCAGGCATCAGATACAAGACTAGCTCTCTTTATCTTTAATTTGTTCTTTCACCCCAATCTAACAGTGATTTCATAACTTCATCAAATTTAAGTGGATTGCTTCAAAAATACTCCTCATAAAATAGTTCATTACAGCATGGTTACATTCCCAGGTATAATCACGAATGCTGTGCACACAGGGATATAACAGATCTCTCTCTGAGTTTATAATTCGAGAACTTAAAAAAAAAAAAAAGTCTTAATATAATCTGACATATTCCAAACTCCACTAATAGAAAAAAGCAGAATTCCAAACAGTCACATCTTTAAATATAGTAATGGGCCCATAATCCAAGAAAACTTGATTGAGATCATCGACGACCAATTCCATGAAGCTTATGTCCTTTGTATCAGAACTACGCCATACGTTACCACACAGCAGAGACCTAAGCCTCCACGGATATAACTCCAGGACTAAGGTAGTTGGGTGTGCAGAACTCTACCTCTACCCTGAATAATTCTGCTTTATCTGTTTTGTGCATTAGGCTTCCATAAAAGATTTAATTTCAGGAAAAGTTTCTGCACCTGAAAGAAGTCTGACAATCACTGTTACAGTAACATATAATTAACCCACTTTAACGTTACACATTGGATGAGTATTCTTCATAGTATCTAGGACTACTTTTTTAACCTGAAATTTGCAAAGAAAAATTAATTAGATACTTAGAAAGATTTTAATGAACTAAGTGGAAGGGGATTAATACACTGCAACATATCTTCCAAATTGAATACAGTAGGCCTTCAACTGCTCTGAGTGACTCATAGATGTTTCCTAATAGTCAACTTCTCTTGGAAGCAATGAATTTTCTCAACTTTACTGCTAAAATGTAACATATAGAACTAATACAATAACATTTTGGAACTATGGAATTTAGGGAGAAGGTAGCTAGATTTAGTCAGAAAATATGGGCTCAATAATGGGAATGCCACTTCATAAGGGAAAATCACCTAACTGTCCTTTTCCTGCTTTCTCGTTTGTAGTACGGAAAAAAAAACTACCTCAAGGCTCTGCTGTAAAAATTAAGTAAGATGATATATGCAGACTTCACAAACTATAGGGTATTCAATATATTTGAGTTATTATTTCCACATGAGAAAAGGACCAACAACTATAAGATCCAACAGAATTATTGTATTCTAGGTTCTGGAAAGGGAACAAGACCTCACAGCCAGATCCAGACAACAAAAGGAGTTAATAGACACAGTAACTGCTCCACAGATTTTCTCATAACATTAAACTTCACAAGTTAAAAAAAAAATTGTCAATCCATTAAAGATTACACTAAACTTCAAACCAAAAAAATGTATTTTAAAGGAAAGAAGTTTTCAGAATCTGACCTCTACTGGTTTATATAGGTTACTGCAAATAACAATATCACCATTCAATTCTCTAATTACTTTAGCACATGTAACTACATCTTTCCTGTATATGCTACAGACTAAAATCTTAAATACCCATTTAAAACTTGCAGTGGAAAGAGAAATGATGCCCAGACCTTCTAATTCAGGAATGGATACTTCCTTAGTTCCCGAAGGTTGACTATATTATGTTAGGATCTAGGAGTGATGACGATTCCCTCAAATAACATGAAGCACAAAGTATTCACCAATGGGAAATCAAACAAAGCATATTATTATTAAAAAAAAAAAAGAAAGAAAGAAAGAAATTGAAAAACAGTGTATTATCCAAAGAACTATTATAACTGATTTAATTTGTTCTATACTAAAAACTAACTGAAGATAGCAAATAGTTCTCACCTCTTTTAAGCCACTAAAAGGTCCACTGACTGAAACCATGTTTCCCTGAACCATAATATAACAGTTTGTGAGTTCCAAAGCCTTTACCAAAAGAAAAGTTGAAATTCAGTACAATGAAAAACTAGTGACACAGGAAGACTCTTAAGTTTTCCACTGATAAAAAGTACCTTTAACATAGATCCTTTGGGACCCATGAGACATTGTCTTCTTTTCACAAATCTTTATTTCTTACTAAACAACCTATTTTAATTATGTCACAACGCAACATTATCCTCAAGAATTCGTACTGCCTTTGGAAACATGAAGAAAATATTCTTTACAAACACATTTGTTTTCAAGGCCCAGGCTAATGAAATCTAAGCAGAAAAATGAAAACTCTAAGATGGAGGGATGCAATGTTATATGTTATCTCTAATGTTGATGCAAATAAAGCAAAGTTTTTGTAATTCTAAATTTACCTGTTCAAATGATACACTTCTTGCTAAAAGTTTTAATTAGGTCTCTGGCCCTAATGATGATACATGGATCAAAAGTCTTCTTTGTCGTACATATTGCCCTCGATCAGGTCCAGGATTGCATTAATGTGCTGCAAAAAGCAAAGAGCAAATACACAACTGTCTAAAAATCAATTCAGTTTTAGGTAATTATAGACAGCCTATCCTAATCAAACTATTAATTACTGTAAATTAAGCTCTCTCTAATTCTATCAATTCCCCCCTTGAAGAAGCTGAGTAGTTGATATAAATAATGAACACTTGATTACTTTCATATTTCAAAGAAAATAAAAAACTCAGGCAACTGAAACCATTTGTACTTACTTGGCTTTAGAACTTTGTACTTATTGGGATAAAGATTATTTCTAGTTTAAAAAATATGTTATCAATGCAAATGAGGTCATACTTAAGACCTAGGGTGAAAATCTAAAGCTACATATAGCTCCTCTATCCTGGACCGGGCTCTGATCTGCCATCTGCTCCTTTGGGTTAAGAATAGACTTTCCCTTCAAACTTTTTTCTAGCTGGTTTGTATTAGCTAAATACAAAGCGAAAACAAATTCTCACAGGTTCAGAAAGAAGCAATAAATGGAAAATTACGCATTAACTCTTAATAGGAAGAACCAGATTTCAACAAAGCAAATTAAAATGTCATTTTCTGACTGATAGTATGTTGTGAATAATATTTCAGTGTAGTGAGTGATGAACAGTTCAACATAAGGTTTGGTCTCTATGAGTTCACAAGTCTAATCTCAGAGGTAGCTGTAAAACAGCTTGCGGTTTGCTGAACCACCCTAATACCTAATGGGCACAAACAGCTCCAGAGCAGTCACCTAGATGAGAAATACATTTTATATCACAACCTAGTGTGTGCACATGTGTTCATGTACACATATATAAATGAACCCAAAGCTTCATAAAATGAAACTTATCCTTACCATATGTGATACGTTATTTTTTTTATTTATTTTTTTGGATGCATTCCTTTTTATAAAGGCTCATTATATCCACTAAATGGGATTTCTTGCTCCACTAATGGGTTTTGCAATCCATAGTTTGAAAAACAAAAACAAATATACTGCTCTAGGGAAACGGCAGCAGCTACATATAGGGCAAGTTGGCCACACCCCCCTCTTCCATTTAAAATGAAAGTTAAGAAACCATCCAGGAACGGGCCTCAACTCAAACTACACAGAAACATGGCAAATATCACAGTATAGAACAGGCATCCTGAAACTTGGAGTTCACAGAAAGTCCATGAGATCCCTAAAGTTCTAAAGGTAAGTGAATTTTTCAAAGTAATCTATTACTCACAAAATAAAAAACAAGTGGATTATAAGAATAAAGCTTATACCTAGGCTGTTTAAAATACCAAAGGAACCGGGGTACCTGGGTGGCTCATTCAGTTAAGCATCCGACCGACCCTTGATTTCTGCTCAGGTCATGATTTCAGGACCATGAGACTGAACGCCATGTCGAGCTCTGTGTTCAGCAGAGTCCACGTGGGATTCTCTTACCCTCCCCCCAACCTCTACTCGCACATGCACATAGGCACACACACTCGCACTTACTCTCTCTAAAGATATTTCTTAAAACAAAACAAAACAAAAACACCAAAAAACAAAGGCACATTAACCATTTATGCTAGTACCTTTAAAAAAAAATCCACCAGCATACATACTTATTTATATATATATATATATATGTAAAGGTGTAAGGAGCAAAACCTCAAAGAAATATATAAAATGTGCATACATGTTCATTCAAGGCTCTTCTGTACCAAAGGCCAGCACTCTTTCAAGTAAGCCTCTCTAGATTTTGGGAACAAAGTTGCAAAACTGCTCTCCTCCAAGAGGCCTCTGGGATTGTCCTTTTTAGAAAACGCAGGTTCCTTCCAACCATCAGGTACAGTGAGGAGTTCTGATTCATCTAAAGAGGAGAAGAAACTTACACGTAAGATTTTACCCTTCTCTTGGACACTTTTAAAAATGCTTATATGCATATATTTACATGTTTCCCAATACTCCTTGTAGTTCCTATTCTCATGCTCTTTAGATTATTCAACAAAGAACATGACTCCATCATTATTTATCAACATACTGTATTAAAATTAACTGTCTATACTTCAGCCTCCTAAGACAAAGTTCCTTAAGGGCAGGGATGCTCCTCGGGTCTACAGTAATTCGCATATGCCTGACAGTAGGATACTCAAAAAACTTATATTGTACTACACTAACTTAAAGATCCAAATACTGCTTTGTTTACATGACTATTTTCTTTTCTTTTTTCTTTTTTTTTTTTTTTATTTATGATAGTCAGAGAGAGAGAGAGAGAGAGAGAGAGAGAGAGGCAGAAACACAGGCAGAGGCATAAGCAGGCTCCATGCACTGGGAGCCCGACGTGGGATTCGATCCCGGGTCTCCAGGATCGCGCCCTGGGCCAAAGGCAGGCGCCAAACCACTGTGCCACCCAGGGATCCCCTACATGACTATTTTCAATATAAATAACCTTTTAGATTTTCCTGAACTGCAGCATGTGTGTGTATATGCACAGGCATATATATTTGTGTTTGTATATTTGCACAAACACAAACTTAAAAGCTGATATTCTGCTGTAAACTTTCAGTTACCGTCACTGGTATATGGTTTTAGACTTTCCAAAGAGTTTTCATATGCCTTATTTCTGTATACACCTTCAGGACAACTGTGAAAGGTGGGAAGAATCGGTATTATTTTTCCCATTTTATAAAAGACATTCAGTCCAAAAAGATTAGTGACCTGTCTAAAGGGACACAAAGGTAATTCAGCCTAAATCTCCTTTCAATAAAATGAAATGTCTCTTAAGGGCATAAAGGATCTCCAACATCATATATTAACACTCCTGGTCCTGGATTTTAGGAATCTCTTAAATCTAACAGCGACACTTTAATTCAATACTACTCAAAGGTATGACCCATAGACCTGCAGTATCAGCACACACTAGGAGTTAGTCACAAATACAATTCTTGGGCTCCGACTCAGACCTAGCAAATTTGAATCTCTTGGATGAGCCCCAAGAATCTGTGTTCTAATAATCTCATTAGGAGATTCTTACACACACCAAGTCTGAGAAAAGGGCCTTTGTGGTTTGTTATACCCCACGGTAAACTTGCTTCTGTTTCTCACACTCACATCCAGTTTATTATTGCTGGTTCAAATCACAGAGAATTAGCTAAGCTTCATAAATCACTTCCAAAAAAAAAAAAAAAAAAAAACAACCCACCAAACCCTCAAGTTCTACAACCGTGATTACTTAAAATATGTATCTTACCAAGTCTCTACTCAATTTAAACACTTAAATAGCTACAAATTAAAAAAAAAAACCTAGCAAAAAAATTTCACAGGAGTTTCACAATAGAGAAGTGCCAATAGCCCCCAAAACACGTGAAAAGGTGTGGCCTCATTAGTAATAAGGGAAGCTCAAATTAGAACCCCAACCAGACAGCATTTCACACTTACCAAAATGACAGAAATCCAACCTGCAGAGGGCATCAGGCGCTGGCGCGGCTGCAGAGCAAGGAGAACTCTCACCCACGGCCGCCGGAGCGTCTCCAGCGTTACCTGCACTACTCTCATTCAGGGATGCCCGTCCCATGTGCATAATGTGAGAAACCGGAACGTGCAAACCAGGAGATACACACGGAGACGTTTACAGGAGCGCTGCTGGTAATGGCAGGCAGCGGGAACAACCCGAATGTCCACAAACAGCAGAATGGAAATATACAGAAGTGGACATTCATGGAAGGAAACAGCATCAGTATCAAAGGAAAATATTAAACGACAGCTACGCGGATCACCTTGACTCAGTAAGAAAAATAAGGCTAAGCCTCGGAAGCAAGCAGAACATCCAGAACCCTCTTGCATTCGTAAAAATTCAAACACTGAAAGCATCAAACCATTCCGGGCACGGGCGGTAAAGATTATGTGGAGCACAGAAAATGATCAGAACGACTGGGAACGGGAAAGGGCAGAGGTAGAGAGCGCTCCTCGGGACTCGGGTGCGGTCCCGCTGTATCTCCCATGTGCTGGCTTTACTCTCAGCGCCTCAGACCCTGCATTCCGCTGAATCTGTTATGTGACTACAGACTTCTAGGACACCTCGCTAAGGGCACAGGGAGAGCTCGAGGTCCCAGGACACCTCCTGAGGGTGAACAGTGAGAGCTCGAGGTCCCAGGGCAAGAGCTCGAGGTCCTAGGACACCTCCTGAGGGTGAACAGTGAGAGCTCGAGGTCCTAGGACACCTCCCGAGGGCCCAGAGGGAGAGCTCTAGGTCCTTACTCCCAGGACACCACCTGTGTCACTGGGTGCACAGTGAGAGCTCGAGGTCCTAGGATACCTCCTGAGAGCCCAGGGCGAGAGCTCGAGGTCCCAGGACACCTCCTGAGGGCCCAAAGGGAGAGCTCGAGATCCCAGGACACCTCCCGAGGGCCCAGAGGGAGAGCTCGAGGTCCCAGGACACCTCCTGAGGGCCCAGAGGGAGAGCTCGAGGTCCCAGGACACCTCCTGAGGGTGCACAGTGAGAGCTCGAGGTCCCAGGACACCTCCTGAGAGTGCAGAGTGAGAGCTCGAGGTCCCAGGACACCTCCCGAGAGGCAGAGGGAGAGCTCGAGGTCCCAGGACACCTCCCGAGGATGCACAGTGAGAGCTCGAGGTCCTAGGACACCTCCCGAGGGCCCAGAGGGAGAGCTCTAGGTCCTTACTCCCAGGACACCACCTGTGTCACTGGGTGCACAGTGAGAACTCGAGGTCCTAGGATACCTCCTGAGGGCCCAGGGCGAGAGCTCGAGGTCCCAGGACACCTCCTGAGGGCCCAAAGGGAGAGCTCGAGATCCCAGGACACCTCCCGAGGGCCCAGAGGGAGAGCTCGAGGTCCCAGGACACCTCCCGAGGGCCCAGGGCAAGAGCTCGAGGTCCCAGGACACCTCCTGAGGGCCCAGAGGGAGAGCTCGAGGTCCCAGGACACCTCCCGAGGATGCACAGTGAGAGCTCGAGGTCCCAGGACACCTCCTGAGGGTGCACAGTGAGAGCTCGAGGTCCCAGGACACCTCCCGAGGATGCACAGTGAGAGCTCGAGGTCCCAGGACACCTCCTGAGGGCCCAGCGGGAAAGCTCGAGGTCCCAGGACACCTCCTGAGGATGCACAGTGAGAGCTCGAGGTCCCAGGACACCTCCCGAGGGCCCAGAGTGAGAGCTCGAGGTCCCAGGACACCTCCTGAGGGCCCAGGGCGAGAGCACTTGAGGTCGGCGGCTCACCTGGGCCACCCCGCTGCCGCCGCCCACCCGCCCTTTAGCCGACGGCGTCCAGCCCCGGCCGCGAGCGCAGGCCCCCGGCGCCCCCCCGACCCTCGGGCCCGTCCGCACCTGCACAGGCGTCTCGGCCCCGCAGCGCCGCCGGTCCACAGGCCCGGCCTCCCCCGACCCCCCCGGCCCCCAGGCGGACTGCACAGAACCGACGCCACGTCCCCGGCCAGGGGCAACGCAGCAGCCACGCCCCGAGCCTCGGTTCTCACTCGAACTCACCTCGCTTCTCCGGCTTCGGCTGCTGCGGACGAAACTCAGTTCTCGGTTCGCCGGCGCCAGCCCGTGGCAGCAGGAGGCCGCCATGTTCCAGCTGCTTCCGGCGCTACCGGAAATGGGGCTGCTCTCACATCCTACCGGCTATTCCCCGGAAGTGGGGCTGCTCTTACATCCTACCGGCTATTCAGGCCTAAAAACCTGTTGGCTCGAAATGAGTTCCATAGAACGCGGACGAGGAGGTCTGCGCAATCCCCGTGCGTGCGTACGCCGCGGCCTGCGACGGTGCCCAAGCTACCGGCGCTTCTCCTGCGTGGCCAATGGAGAGCCGCGGACTGTTTTCCCAGGATGCACGGCAACCACGGAGGTCGGCTGCATGCTGGGAGTTGTAGTCCAGCGCTATGGGGAGGCTGGAGGCCCAGCTCTGCTGCGTACAGCCTCCTGTGGGTCCTTGTGTGTATGTAGCTCAGGGTCTTGGACTCCGGGGTTCGGTCGCAGCGTTCAATCGTCGGCAACCGGCTGCAATTCACGTCACCCACCCACCCACTCGTTTGATGATATGTATTTGGCCGTCAAGCAAGCACTGGGCCTAACTGGGAAGGCCAAATACGGAGATGCCTGGTCCTTGATGGCAGAGACTGGCACAATCGCTACCATTTACTGAGACTACTTGGTGCCACGCACTTTATTTGCATTTCCAATTTATAAAACAAAACTAAAACTGATGATTTTTTTTTGTAAGACAGTCTTAAAAGTCTGTTTCTGATGGTACGTTCCCAGGGTCTTGGTACTTCTTCTGAGCCAGAACCATGCAATTAAGTGACGCTTCTCAAGTATTCCCAAAACGGCTCCCTCAACGCTGCATATGGCTTGGAGCTTAAGGTTTCCCAAAACGGCTCCCTCAACGCTGCATATGGCCTCAGTGTGAGGCCTTTCACTACTTGCACACTTTTGCACTTCTAAAAATCTAAAAATTCTTAGACTCACTAATGATGAGACTTATCTTGGTGACTGGTCTTACTGCTTGCCATTTCTAAAATTCTCTGCAGCACAAGTTGGGGAAGTCTTAGGTTGAATTTCTGGCATTAGTGAGACTGGGAACATCTATTTGGAATCCACCCTTGTATATCTTCTATAAAAACTTAAGATTGTTGTACATACGGTACATACATAAAACAGACCAGTAATTAGGGACAGAAGGTCCCAAGACATGTGGTTATGTTAAGATATTTTTTTCTTGGGACACCTGGGTGGTTCAGTCAGTTAAGCATCAGACTCAGGTTTTGGCTCAGGTGGTGACCTCAGGGTCATGAGATGGAGCACAGCATGGGGCTCTGTGGTAGATGTGGAGCCTGCTTAATATTTTTACTCTCCTCCTCTTCCCCATCCCACTCACATGCTCTCTCTCCCTCAAAAAAAAAATTATCCCATTTTTATAAAGCAAACGATTCAATAAGTATTTATTGAGCCTCTATAACATTTCGGGTTCTATGTGCTAGATAATTATAAGTATGTGTGTCTGTATATATTGTGAATATATGTTTGTATGTGATTATACAACAAAAAAAAGATTTAGAAGGCTACACCTCAAGGTTATAAGGCTGGCTATCTTAAGGATGAAGGTAGAAAAGAAAAAGGAAGCAGGCAAAAGGACAAAAATAGGTAAAAAATAATCATTAGAAAAATATTGTCAACAAGTAAAGGACTCTGCATGAAAGCCTAGAAAACCTGGGAATCCAGGAGAGAGACCAAATTTGAGAAACATATTCGGTCTTGGAATGTTTGCTGTGCAACAATATGTTTCATGTGTCATGGTGTTGGGCTGAAATAGGCTTGCAGGGTATCAACCCCTTCTTGCAAGGCCCCATTTAGCAAATTCTGTAGATATGTACACATGGTGTACAGCTCTGGCTGCTAAGTCACTTCAGTGAACACTTAACCAACCTCTGTTTTTCCAGCTGTAAAATGAGAAAGTTGAGTTAGATTACTGCTTCTTAAACCTTAGCCAACCTCGGACACACATGGAGGGTGATCGTATTCACAGTTTATAGTTCAGTAAGTCTAGGACAGGGCCCAAGAATTTGCAATCTGGAAAACAAGGAATTACCCAACCCCAAAATGCAAATAATGCCAAGGTTGAGAGACTTGGGCCTACAGATGTTCTTAATTTCTGTGATTCTACTTCAAAGGGCTAGTAAGGGCTTTACTTTTACTTTTACGACATGCAATGAAAGCAAAGTAATTTCCTACTTTTCCCATTATTTCCCACTGCTAGGGCAGAACTTACCTGGCATCAAGAAGCTAAAGTTTCCAGATGGTTGTTCATTACTTTTCTGGGCTCCTTGGTGGACAATCTTGCTCCATTTCCTGGGATTCTGTTGTCTCATTACCCAAACAAACAATGACACTGCTATATTCAGTGGATGCTTGAGGTCTAAAGGCACTCATTATTGCTTGAATATTAGTCTCTCTGGGACTCAGGCCCACAGAACATTAATATTTCATTGGGCCTCTCCTACTATTTCCAAGGCAATCTTCCATCTTTCTCTTCTTGATTGTACTTATTGATAAGAAACAGCTTTGATTTAATTTTTGGTTATAATATTCTTCTCTGGAATACATTTCATGATATTAGGTTTCACCGAAGCAACAGAAGGCTTTTTAACGCATGCATGAAAACTCAAGATTTAATTAGTGGCATGTGAATGTATTGGCACTGCCGAGATTTATTATTTTAGGCAAATCGAAGAAGCGAACTGCAGTCTTTTATTTGTTTACATGACATTGGGAGAATATTTGAATTTCTCCAGGAAGCAGATTTCTTTTTTTTTAATTTTTTTTAAAATTTTTTTTATTTATTTACGATAGTCATACAGAGAGAGAGAGAGAGACAGAGACAGAGACAGAGACACAGGCAGAGGGACAAGCAGGCTCCATGCACCGGGAGCCCGACGTGGGACTCAATCCCGGGTCTCCAGGATCGCGCCCTGGGCCAAAGGCCAAACCGCTGCGCCACCCAGGGATCCCAGGAAGCAGATTTCTAGTAATTTGTTAAGTCTATATGCCTCCCCACCCTTCAGACAGTGGTAGCCACAGATGGTTCTTGATGAAATAAATTTTTTTAATGAAATAAACTTTTAGATTATATATTTCAAACATTTAATGGGTTTGTATTTAAACAAGTTATTTCTTGATGTTAACAAGATGGTGACATAGCTTCTCCATTGTTTCAAAATCTCAAAAAGTCTAGCTATCTGATACACCTAGAGACTGAAAACTCAGTTTTAACACTACATTTTTTGCTTTTGATCATCTATCAGTGATTTTAATCTCTTTTGGTTTACAAGTCCCTTTACTGATGAAATTAAATCAATGGACCCAGAAAAGCACATATATTTGGGTATACATATCATTTTACCCATAGTTTGACAGTATGCTCACATTTCTGTCACCCTCTTTCATAAAACTCCTAAGAGATCAAGCCACCAGGTTAGAGACTCTTGCCTTAAAGCAACACAGGAGGAATGTCTCAGAAGCCTGGATCTGATCTTACGAGCACTCAAGTCCTTTGCTTTTAGAGTTCTCCAGGAGACACAGGATTAGAATTTTAGTATGCTTCCGTACTTGCGTATAAGTATACTTCTCAAGATTCCTTTGACTGCAAGTCATAGAAATTCAAAGTAACAAGTACAAAAGAGGACTTACTGCCCTACATACCTGGGAATTGGACCTATGCCCTCAGCAATATCATAGAAACACTCATGCTCTTTCTCTATCATAATCTTGAGACCTCTCTCTCTCTCTCTCTCTCTGTGTGTGTGCGTGTCCTTCCATATTTTGACTCTGCTTTTTCTGTGTAGTTTTTATTCTGAAGCAAAGATATCTGCCACCAGCGCAGAATTAAATTCTCAACAGAAGAAATCCTTTCGTCCTAAGAATTCCATCAAAATCCCAGGAAGAAAACAAACAAACAAACAAAATCCCAGGAAGACTCTCAGTGGCCAGTCCTGGATCACACTCTAAAGCCAGAGGTGGGTTACACCCACATAAACCACCTGGGCTTAGAATGGGAATGAATGATTCCTAAGGAGAAATTGAGAGCTGCTGCCAAAAGAAGGGAAAGAGGGGCAAAAACACACAATGTGTACTACAGTAAGTATAGCAAGTTATGCAGGGGATTAACAGGTTTTCAGGTTTTACCCATCACCATCGCTCATTCTCAAGCCACCATTTCATTAAAACAAGCCACATACTTAAAGAATTACTTAGCCGCAGTCACAAGATACATGGAGGAATTATGTACTAAGATTGTATTGGGGGTATGTGTGTATAGTAGCTCTCTGTATTTGCTATGAGGGTAAAAATGTATTAATTGGTGTAGTAGGTTGATTTATATTTCTCTAGGCACATGTGGTGATACTGAAAACGTGACCTGCTATAATTGTGGTGATTTGGTATAGCCCATTGTTATAATAATTTTTCTCTCATGTAGCATATTTCCCTACAGGAAATGGCTTATATTTTTTCTTTTAATTTTGAAAAGAATAAAAAAGGAAAATGCAAGGAACAATGCAACCATTGTCCAAGAATCTACCTAAATTTAGTTCATTTTAACTTATCATTTATCACTTTGGCCCCAGATATACATAAATATTTGTATCATAAAATCTCACAATAATGCAAAATGAAGTCATTCCTATCTTCTCTCTTCTAGAAGCAATAATTAGATGTTTTAGTTTCTAAGAATTATTTTAGGTTTACTAAAAGCAGATAGACTAATATGACAAATGCTTTTGTAGTCATAGTTAAATTTAAGACATAAATATTTCCAGCTAAAGCCCCTGTCTACACGTTCATAAACTCATACCTCCCCCCTTCCACCATAGGTGACCACTATGCCAAGTTAGGGTTAGGGGAAGGCTTAGGGTTAGGGTTAGGGGTTAGGGCTAGGGTTCGGGTTAGGGTTCGGGCTAGGGTTTGGCTTCAGGTTAGGGGTTAGGGTTCAGGTTAGGGGTTAGGGCTAGGGTTCAGGTTAGGGTTCGGGTTAGGGTTAGGGTTCGGGTTCAGGTTAGGGGTTAGGGTTAGGGGTCTGGGTTAGGATTCATGTTCGGGGTTAGGGTTAGGGGTTAGGGTTAGGGTTAGTGTTAGGGGTTAGGGTTAGGGTTAGGGATTAGGGGTTCGGGGTTAGGGTTAGCGTTTAGGGTTTAGGGTTAGAGGTTAGGGGTTAGGGTTCGGTTAGGGTTTAGGGTTAGGGTTTAGCGTTAGGGTTGGGGTTAGGGGTTAGGGTTAGGA